GCCGCCGCCGGATCATCATGGGTGTGTGCGGATCGAGACGACCGGGGTGCCGGGGGGAGTTGGTAGGGCCTTGCCGGGACTGCGATTCCGATGCTTGAAACATTACGCTAGAAGCAGGGCCGATTCCCAACGGGCCTTACGGCGCGACGGCAAACTCTGCCCTTGGCTCCATAGTGGTCCTTTCGAAAAGACAGGCCGCTTCTTTCAACGGGTTATTGACGTGTATGTAGTAGATGGGGAGGGGCAAGAGGTTACTTGGCACGGCTCAAACATCAGCAGATGGTGACATGAAGCTTTCAGGGGAACGACCCCAGAGCCGTAAGAAAAGACCTACTCATTTCGGTGGCATTCATGGCGCCGATCCAATTGTGAGCATGCATCGCACGGGACATCTGTCAACCCTCATCTGCCTGCTCGGCTAGCTCGACCCAGACTCTGCGGCCTTGGCCACCGAAAGGCCGGGTTCTTTTGACATTTGCGTCTCATTTCATTCAACCACCCCCCGGTCTCCTCCCCCGCGCGCGGGCGGTTTGCCTGCCGCAGGCCCCAACCACCTTGATGTTGACGCCCATCTCGCCAATGTCGGGGTCTGGACCCGATGCCGCGAAAGGCATTCCGCGACTATGGGTTACACTGTAAACATGAAAGTCGGTGGCCTCGGCCGGGACACGATACTTCCCGTCCCTGGCCTGTCGCTTGGATGCACCTTTGCCGCGCAGGGCATTTGACGCTTACCTTGCACGCCGGTTAATTACTTCCGCTTGGTGGTATGAAAGGACGTGTCCACTGTGGCCATGGGTTCACCTTGTGGAATAGCCCCGGTCGATTATGATGTTGACCTCATCTGACACCCATAGTTCGAGTCTGATATTGACATCAAAGTAGCCATTTACAATGGACGAACCTGGCTTCTAGACTTTCTTGCCGTGTTAGTGGCCCACGCCCGAGGTATGGGTTTCGGCCCGCCAATGGCCAGAGCCAACTCTTCGGCGTGCAATGCTAGCTTAATGCTTGGTTGGCAGGAAGCCGTTATGAGGATTGCCAATCTGCACGTGCTATGGAACGCCAAGGTCGCCCTTTTTTGGAGGCTCAGCCTTTGGAGTAGGGATCATCTTCCCGTCGTCCGGATTGCCCAGCCATGGCGTTGGAAATCAGCAGGCATAGAGGTTGTTAACCCGGACCTTTTGACTGCAAGAGAGTCTTTTGAGGCGATCAGCGTGGACAAGGATACGGTCGGCACTGTGCCGAAGACTTACAAGGGTGATGTTGATGTTTGAAATGCATGCGCCGTGAGATGTGGTGGCGAAAGTGTTGGCAGCGATGATCGTTGCCCCGGCAGTCCTGACATATTGGTTTTCAAGGGGAATACATCAACTTGAGAATAGCTTCACGTTTCTCCTGCTGATGAGATGATCTAACATCGTTTTGAAAAAGCCCAATGGGAACATAGCCAACTCAATTTGTCTGACCGTGGCTTTTATGCAAAGTCAGAATAGTCATAAGGTAATGAGACTCAGTAGTATTGTTGCCATTGTGAACTACTAGTAGCCATTCCCTGACTGCTAGTACATGTAACTGAAGAGATTACTTCACAAAGTGAAGTATAAGTCAAACATGTAACCGGTCCGGTGATCGGTACATGTATGAATAGGTACTTGAAGTACTTGAGTACTCGAATTTTTAGGTACGAGCAGAAACACTTTGGGGGTTGTGGAAGACATCCTCGGGATCCCAATGTCTCTTGATATCTTCCAGAGCAGTAAGGCTCGACCCCCAGTATGACCTCTGAGCATCTCTAAGCTCCGTGTCCACAAATCCTGGATAGGTACCAGTCGCCCCAGGAAGAGTGTTCATCAGCTTCCGGTGAAAGTCTCCAAGACTGGTGCGAGTCGCCTTTGAAGCATCCGGGGCGTATGATTGATAGAACATGACCTTATCTCTGTGAGCGTAGGATGTGCTGCCAACAGGAACCTCTGCAACAGCACCACCAGCAGCCTGGAACTTGATAGACCAATTTTCTTCCATAAGCTCAGATGACAGACTAGCGAGAACACTGGCAATCTCTGTCCTGGACAGAATGTCCTTACTGCTCAAGCCCAAACTCTTCGAGTAAAGCTTGTTCGGGGTGGAAGCCGTATGAAGAGCCTCTTCGACAGCGAGGTGAGCAAGAGATTTCTCCCAGGTCTCTTGACGAGTTGTGATAGGGGTATCAGTGGTTTGAATGCGCCTGAGAATACCACTTTGCTCAAGCTCTGCCTCTGAGCCGAACCAGGTAGAAGAGATGCGAGCACCCGACGGGCTGAAGATCATTTCTGTACTGAAACGGTTGTCGAGTGCAGGGTCGGTGGCAACAGACTGCCAGGTGTGGAAGACATCAGCAATCTCTGCTGGGTGGCTGTACAAATGACTTTGGCTCAGGTGAAGAACACTTGATGGCGCCGGGTGAGTACTCATGACAAATTCGGTGACGATGCCGAATCCAGCACCGGCTCCTCTCATAGCCTAGAGAGGTATGTCAGCAATTAGGGCATGCAGGATTGCTGTCAGGGGAAACTTACGAAGAACAAGTCCGAGTTCTCCTTGGAGCTCGCGCGTACGACCGTCGCGTTTGCCGTGACAACCTCAACTTCAACCACATGATCCAGGGTGGTGCCCCACATACGGGACATCGGGCCAATTCCACCCTGAACACAACTTGTCAGTGTTCGTCTGTGAGAGCTTGACATACTTGTGCTACTTACAACGGTAGCGTGGCCTCCGATGCCGATGCCGAAGCACATTCCATGAGGAATTGCTCGCTGGGAGGTGCCCAAGTGCTCATCGATTCGGCCGAGTCTCGTACCGCCACCAACTCTGATGTTGTTTGAGCTGGAGTCTTGCGTATATTGAAAGTGTTTCATGTCTACTGATACGGCACCGTCTTCGCCTCCGAGGCCTTGTTATACAGTTAGCAATCGGGATATTTTGTTATTCCAGCACGCAACACTAGGCAAGGCATGGGAATAGCGAACCATAGTTGCTACCATCAAAAGTTAGTAATAGAACGTCAAGTCTCTATGTTGAAGGTCGAACTCACCCCCAACTGTGACTTCCTGCAGTCGCCTGGACTTTGACTCCATGCTTGGCTGCGCAAGCTACAACGTTGGCAACCTCTTGGGCGTCTTTAGGCCTGACGATCGCCGCGGGCGTGACTGTGCGACCGAGATTGAAAGGCGCCATCCACGTAGCTTCTCCCGCATCTTTTTGACTAGGAAACTGTACGCAATCTGACCTTCCGGCACAGACGTTGCTCAGGCACGACTCGATCGAGGAGGTTGGCTTGTAGACAGGCCCTGGAGCAAAGTAGGTCTGCATGGTGAGGCCTGCCAGTACTGTGGCAGCACCAATGGACCAAGAGTTCCACTGCACTCCTTTGGTAGCCTTCTCTAACCTAGAGGGTTGACGATGATACGAAGTGGACATGATGAGATGTGCTAGAAATAGCTGTGACTTTTGTATGAGGTTAAAGATATGTGAATTGCATGTGGTGAGACCATTGGTTTGAGACGAAAATGGCCACTTCTTATAACTCCAGGACAACTAAGATACCCGACAGCATACGAGAGTCTCTTGACCGCTTTGTCAACTACTGACCTACTAGAAGGCATGTGATTGTGGTGATGGACGGCCGCTTCGGACAGTGGACGTTTGCCGGACCCGGCCCCGCATCGCCGATCGGTCTCAGCCCGGGTGTTCAGAATCCGTGGATCGGCGAACTTTGATAACGCAGCTGGCTTCCCCTTGGCTAATTACAACGATTACCGCGCGTAACGCGGTACCCAATTGCAGGGATTTCGTGCAACGAGCTTGAAACTGGGTATATGTTTCGGGGTGAGCCCCGTCAGGAACGCTCAACTTATAACCCTTTACGGGTTGATGATGTCTTGGATCGTTCAGCTCCGCCAAAACTATCAAGACATTAGCCCCAATGCATTCTCCATATGCTAGCGCATCTGTTCTTATAACTTTGTTGAAAGCAGAATAGTACGCATAGGCGCTGTTGATCGATCCGTATCCTTGGCTTCTTAAATGTCTAGATGCTCGTTCTGAGTTAGGTGTGTCTCATTCTTGGGTCTCTTGTCTTAGACTCTCGAACCCTCCGAATACCCGTCAGTCAGCCGCTGTTCCACATCTAATACATCGCGATTCCCTCCATCAGATCCGAGACAAAATGCACAAGTAACTACGTCATGCCCCGAATGGAAGACACCATTCTAACCAAGTGAGGAATCCCATATGTCGCGACACAGCGCCTTCATGACATCACATTTAGTGATTATTCACAGGAAACTGACACCCGAAGAGCAGGATAGTAGAATAGTCAGTAAACACTAAGATAAGGACGTTCACTGTTCACTCAGATGTGGCTGCCTTACTTAATTTTCCCCCCTTAGGAAACCCAGTCTTGGCCGACTATTGTAACATATCAAGCCCGAGAATGGCAAGTTTCACTCCTATGGACAAAAGAGTAGAACATCAATCACGCCAATACAAGTTATGCTGACCATTCATGCTATTCGAAGTATATGCGCCATCGAGATGGGTCAACGTGGCGCGATGCTGACTTTCGATGGTTTCACCTTCCTGTACACCAGTAGTAATTGTTTAAAGTAGCTTGCCTATATCCTAAGCATCGTGAGAACGCATGTGTACTTCACGATACTTGAGGAGACCATTGAGGACTTCACTATCTGAGTAAGTGGGTTCAACAGCACCATCTGAATATCTTAGTACGGACTAATACGGTACATCACGCTCCATCGCGGATGAGCTTTTCAAGCTTCAGATCTCCACTGTTACTCATTCCTCGCCAGTCATATCTCTCTACCCCTTGTCAACCTCCACCGCTTCCCGCCAGTCTTCCAACAAGATACTTAGTTCCCACAATGGCGTGTCCTATTATAACACCTTGGCCCCAAGCAAACGCTATAAGTCTAACAAGTTGCGGTCAAATTATAATCTTATTCCATCTTGGTCGCCTTCAGGGGATCCAGCGAGCTGGTGAAGTCAGCGGCCTTGGTGGCCATATTGGTGGGGAAGCTCAGATGCTCGTGAATCCACTTCCACTGCCCATCTGCGTTCTTCCGTGCGATGCCCGTCCTTCTAAAAGCTGTGTCAAATGGCACACCGCCAGCTGTTCCCCAAGTATGCTGTATCATGGTGGAATAGGCATACTCTTTGGACAGAGCTGTGATCTCGATGTCCTTGTACTCCATATTGCCGTCGTTCCAATACGGGAAGATGGAGTCAAAGTGCTCTTTGAAGCTGCCCCGGATGGTGTTGCCGAACATGTCGTAGCTGAGCATGTCATCAAAATCATAGAATCGTCGAGCGCCCACCATTCCATTGTGGTAGTCTTCGCGCGACTCCTTGTTCCAGTAATGCAACCAGCCGCGGTAAAGCTGGTCCATAACTTCTTGCTCTTCTGTCGCTAATTCTTCTTTGTGATACTTCAGTGTGCAGGTCAGCCTAGGCCTTATCTGTGGAATTACGATGAAATAGCATCACTAACCTTGCTGGCTGGCATGTGGAGGAATTCAATTTGCTTTCGAACGTCGACATACTCGCTCTTTTACCTGTCAGATTCATCTGCTCGAGTGGAATTTGGCGATACTGACAGCATCTTCGACAAAGCCTTTATCGTTCATATTGAGTGTACTTGCAGAGTAATCAAGGAATTGTGTCTCTCTTGTGGATGGTTTAGCAACTAGTGGAAACGGGAGTCGTGACAGTGAGCAATGTCTCCATATTTAGATTTCGTCGTAAGCCCGAAATCACCGCAGTCGGCCATGCGGCCCACGCAGTCGCGGACAGATTCCAGCCATGAATTAGTCCGTCCGAATCACTATTCGCAAGTTTCGCAACGACTTGCAAATGTCAAAATTGCCAGAATCAATTACACAATGACGGTATGAGAGCGAGCAAAGGCAAATGGATCAAATTAGACCCGCCAATTGAGCAAAACCTGCGAAAGTTTGCCCGCACCTACGTAAGCTCATGGGGCGATGGCCTCTCGCATCCAGCGCCGTTATTCAGCGGTATCATAAAGATGCATGCGGTTCTACCTCATATCTCTCTTTTCAGTCGATTGCATGATCATTGGTCTCATCCGCTAGACTTCCTACCCTACCTAGTCTATTCTTAATTTTCTTTATAGTTGCTTCCCAGCAAAATGGGTTCCCTGTCTTCTCCCGAATATGATGCCATCATCGTTGGTGGTGGCTTCGCCGGATGTTATGCCCTCGACCAACTCCGAAAGGCCGGATTCAAGACCCTTGTGATCGACGACGCAGCCGATCTTGGCGGCGTCTGGTACTGGAACTGCTACGCTGGAGCACGTGTCGACACACCTGTGCCTCTCTATGAGTTCTCTGAAGAAGAGATCTGGAGACCGTGGACCTGGTCCGAGAAGTATCCCGGAAGAGAAGAAATCCGAAACTACTTCCAGCATGTCGAGTCCAAGCTGAATCTCAAGAAAGACATTATGTTCAATACCCGCGTTGTCAGTGCCGACTTCGACAAGATTGGCTCTCACTGGACCATCACCACTGGCGACAATGTCGTCTTGACCGCCCGATACTTCATTCTTTGTACTGGTTTCGCTGCAAAGCCAAACATTCCAGATTTCAAGGGCCTTGATTCCTTTGCTGGAGTCTTGTGTCACACCTCGAAGTGGCCTCAGAAGGGCATTGACTTTAAGGGAAAGCGGGTTGGTATCGTTGGCAACGGCTCAAGTGGCCTCCAAGTCATCCAGGAGATTGCCCCCGAAGTTGGCCACCTGACAGTCTTCCAACGCAGCCCAACCTACGCCCTTCCCATGCGACAAACTCCCCTTTCTGCTGAAGACCAGAAGAAAGAAACCTACAAGGAGCTTTATGAGCTTCGTAAGAATACTTTTGCTGGCCTTGACTTCGAGTTCAATCCTCAAGCCTGTGCCGGGACAGCTGCAGAGGAGCGCCAGGCATTTTTTGAGAAGATCTGGGCGAAGGGTGGATTGTCTTTCTGGTTGGGGACATATCAAGATGTTATCAGGAACAGAGAAGCCAACCAACACGCATACGAATTCTGGCGCAGCAAGGTCTTGGAGCGCGTCCACAAGCCCGCGATGCAGGAGCTTCTGGCCCCGGAGAAGCCACCATACTACTTCGGAACCAAGCGAGCTACTCTCGAGCAGAGATACTACGAAGTCTACAATGGTGACAACGTGGCTCTCATTGACACCAAGGTCAATGCTATCGCGGAGGTTGTCCCCGACGGTGTCTTCACCGCCGATGGCGAGCTGCACAAGTTCGACGTCCTCATTCTTGCTACCGGGTTTGACTCGGTGACGGGAGGTATCTTGGCGATCGATATCAAAGGCGAGAATGGACAGTCATTGAAGGAGAAGTGGGCGAAGGGTACGACGACGTACCTTGGAATGATGACCGCTGGGTTCCCCAATGCACTGTTTGTCTACGGGCCTCAGGGTCCAACATCATTCTGCAACGGACCTACGTGTGCCGAGCTCCAGGGCGGTTGGATCCGCGACACGCTTGTCTACCTACGAGAGAACGGCAAACGCTACCTTGACCCTCGTTCGGATGTAGAGCAAGAGTGGCGGGATCTTGTCAATCGTATTGGAGACGAGACTCTACTGCCCCAGACCAAGTCTGAGTACATGGGAACCAATATTCCAGGGAAGCCCAAAGGTAAGAATTTAGCCCATCTCCCCTATCTACTCAATACTCAAATGTAACCGCTGACTTCGAAGCAGAGATGCTCAACTTCCTTGGCGGCGTAGTCGAGTATACTCGACGCATCAATGACTCGCTCAATACGGGCCTCAAGGATTTCGTCGTCCAGTGAGAGGAGATAGAAAGCAATTATCGAGGAGAAAGGTGCGGGGTTTGGTTAGCTCGTGAGTCGTCCATAGGAATATACCACCTTTTCTTTCCTGTTGCGGAAGCTCGGCGCCGACCAGGCGTTGTTCCCGGTTGCACGGCGTGGCAGCTTGCATACTGTGTTCCTCGGCGGTGTCGCATCGGGTTCACGGCCAACAGAAAACCCCGATGCGGTGAGCGGCCTACTCCGTGCGAGCAATGGCCAGCCACCTGCAGGCTACGGACCGGTCCGTAGTGTCTTCCAGCCCTGGTCCGGCAGTCGTAAAGCAATGATGGGCACATCCATTACGAGGGAGGTGGCGGAATCAAAAGTGAGATTGTACAACGGATCACATCATGCAATAACATCGCTAACTTATCAAGCGCCGGCTACACGCCAAGAAACTGAGTAATGGAGTGGAGCCATGGTGTTACAGATGTACTGGGGACTTCATAGGCGTCAAGAGGAGGCTTCTGCGGTATCACATTGCGGACATAAAGACTATTAATTCCAGCGTTGGACCTGGAATCAGTTGAGTTGTTGAGGCAACTAAGACGAACAACTCAGTCTACATTATCATGATGGCTCTGAGCTCCCTTTTGTTGACGGAAACGCAGCCGCTTGCCCACATTGCTTTATTGACACTCAGTTCTTCGTTGCTCTTTTATCTAGCCCGAGGCCTTTACCAAGCCTATTTTTCGCGGTTGAGCCGCGTTCCAGGTCCCAAGTTGTGGACCATATTCCCATTCATTCCCAAATTTAAGATACTGTTCGGCACCATCGACCAAGATATTCGCGAGTTTCACAGAAAATACGGCAACGTTGTACGCTACTCACCAGAGGCAGTGACGTTTACGACAAGCCAGGCCTGGAAAACTATTTACGGCCATGGGCACGGGCAGTTCGCAAAGTACAGTGCCTCGAAGCAACTCGACCCTGACTCCAACATCCTCGACGCCGATGATGTCAACCACGCTCGAATTCGTCGAGGAGTAGCCCACGCTTTCTCACCACGGTCTCTGGCTGAGCAAGAGCCGATCATTCACGACTATGTTGATAAGCTCGTACGAAGGCTATCAGATGTGGCTGAATCCCGAATGCCGACAGAGATGGGAAGATGGTTCCATATTGCTTCCTTCGATATCATCGGCGACCTGACGTTTGGAGAGTCTTTGGGTGGCCTCGACAATAACGAGTTCCATCATGTGGTAACTTCTGTCCTCATGTTTATCGAGCGAGCTAAAAAGCTCTTCGAACTCAATACACTGCTGGGCCCGCTCTCGTGGATTATCCTGCCGATCTTAGCGCGAGATGTTCAAAAGGGCTTCATGGACCAATTTGACTACACCAGGAAGGCCGTAAACAAACGATTGGAGAATAACTCTGAAGCCACTCGCAAAGATTTTATGCAAGGTCTGCTCCGTGGAAGAGACGAGAAGACTATCAACTCCACCGAAGAGATTGTCACAAACTCGAATACCCTCTTCGTCGCCGGCAGTGATACCACGGCAACTTTGATGACGGCTTGCACTTTCTACCTCTTGTCAACGCCTCATGCGCATAGAAGAGCAGTTGAAGAAGTCAGAGCTGCGTTCAAGTCACCTGGCGAAATTAACTTTACGGATGCGACAACACGTCTGCCTTACCTTCTCGCTGTGCTCAACGAGACCTTCAGACTCTATCCACCCGTGCCGACTTCGCTTGAGAGAATTGTTCCAGACACAAAAGAACCAACATACATTGAAGGAATATTTTTCCCTCCAGGAGTAAGTGCTTGATTGTATTTACCTCTCTGCTCGTCTCAGCTTGAAAATTTGCTGACAGAGGCGTGTTGAAGACTCGTGTTGGGGTTCATCACTCCGCTGCCGGTCTCTCAGCTTCCAATTTCGCTGAGCCAGAGAGCTTTGCTCCTGAACGATGGCTTCCCAGTGTTGCTAAAGACCCTACGTCTCCATTCTATGCGGACAAGCGGGACGCTGTTCAGCCATTCTCGTATGGCCCTCGCAATTGCATCGGGAAGCACTTGGCATACAATGAGATGCGCGTTATTATTGCGCGACTGCTATGGGAATTCGATATGAAGCTCGATTCATCTTCGACCAAGTGGACACAGCCATATTCTAAGCACAAAGCCTGGGCCATCTGGAAGAAACCACCTCTGGTGGTGCATATTGAGAGACGTCCTTTGGCAATCTAAAACCTGGCCATAAGTGGGATTGAAGTCTCTTTCAACGTCAGCCACTAGGGTCCTTACATTAGTAACAGTCTAGTTGATTGGTATTCAAAAGAAGAGCATGATCAGCTTCAACGCCGCAATTTTGCTCTACTATCTGCGAGGACAATTCTACACATTGCTAAGGACCCAGGCCTCCCATTATCTTCAGAATCTTGCTTATCGGGCTCTTGAGCTTGTCTGCCTTCTTCCAGTATCCTGCAGCCGCCAAACCGGTGACCACCAAAAAATCCATGTCCAACGTTTGAGGGGGGACAAACAATTCAAAAACCGGACTGGGGTCGCCCGCTTGACCTTCAGGCTTTCCTGACCATTTTGCTAAAAGTCGATTACCATCGGTCTTAAGGTACAGCGTGTTCATCGACATGGTATTTTTGGACATAACCCATCGGTAGTTGCAGCCGTTAAAGTTGATTTCGTGTCCGTGGCTGTAGTCCGTAAGCCCCAGGCTTAGCTCTAAACCGCGCAGGGTGATTTGCGTTCTTGAGGACATGGTGTGGTATTTGATGATACCAACGGCATTGCCTGCGGGGACCTGCGCTCTGGGTTCTGCGGAGACAATCGCTAGTACGCCGTTTTCATTGCTCTCGTTGACAGTCCACACTGGGAATTGTCGTCCGCTCTGATCTACGCGATATATGGTTCTTTGAGTTCCGCCGTAGACATCTCTGACTTGGAGAGTTTCGCATACTGGGAGGTTGATTTTCGAGTCTTTGATGTAGTCATCGGTGATTTCATACCAGCCCATAATGAAAATGGAACGCAGTGCGTGAGAAATCTGAATATATTTTGCTTGAGTCTTCGTATTTTAGGTAAAAGTCTAGCGATGTGTTATCGCATCAAAATGAAATCAGAGACCGAAAGCTATGTGGATAGCATCGTGGCTACCTAAGTAAACTCCGAGAATCGAGCAGGAGAATCCTTTTAAGATTGCCAGAAGACAAGACAGACCACATGATGTGTAGATGCACTTCGCCGCAAACCTATTCGGAAGAATAACATCATTGGATCTTTCCCGGCTTATTGAGACAGACTTGCCCAAATTGGGAAGTAAGAAGTCCTCAAAAGGTGCAAAGCAGCCAGGTTGTTCCGCTAGGTCTTACTTCTCTGACCAGTGCCAAGCGCGGCTCATCATCGCAAGCGAGCTTAACAGGGGTCGACAAACCTGTCGCGACTCGCCAGTCTAAGGTAGGTAACGCTCGAGAGTGGAACGGAGGACCCAATCATACCGGGTTATTGTTTGTGACCTCACAAATCTGTTTGGTTGAGTTCAATCCGACTGGATGTAAAACGTGTCTTTGCCAGACTCCGCCAGCTTGGCTCTGCATTGACCTTATCTATCTCGATGTTCCAGTATTATTGTGTTATTGACCTCTTCGGAACCGTTGAATTCGAAGAGAAAATGCTGTCAGCAGTGTATTCCAGAACCCATGTACCGGCTTCCCAGGTTTCCCAGTCCTCTTCCTTCGCCGCATCTCCAAGCATCTTAAGAGCCTTTACACGCCAAGTGTAAGTACCAGCCGGCACGGGAGCTTTGTTATCGTCGGAACCATCCCAATACCAGGTCGAACCGTTCCATGGGACCGCTGACGTACTCTGATAGGAGTTGGCCACTACTTTTCCAGTTTTTGCGTCTACCATGTGAATGCTCATGTTACGCGACTGCAAGAAGAGGAAGACCTCGATGCCGGGGAACTCATTGCCTGGGAAAGAAGCTGGAATATCTGCGGTGATATTCAGCGTGCAGGTGTAAACGCGGCCTGGTTCGGCATGTGATGCCTTCCCTGCAGTTACATTGTATGACGAGAGGTAAGATTTATCGCGGTTGATACTGTGTAAGGTAGTGAGGGGCGCGCCGAAGCCGGTGTATGGGAGCGAGAGTTTATTGACGTCGGTTGCACCCTTGGCTTCAACGTTGATGTAGCCGCCGAAATAGGAGACACGAGTTGAAGCTTCCGGCAGAGCAGGCTCCTTCGAGACTGAGACTGAAACAGTGGCAGTCTTTCCTGGGTCAACTGAGAGAGTTGTGGGGTTAATGCTGATTTCGGCGTATACTGGGTACACCACGGCCTCAGTAAGTTGGTAGCTATCCGGCTTCTCAAGAACATAGCCAGAGCTGGCTCCAACATGAGTCAGTTCGTAGGTGGTGGTCTCCAACCCGGTGTTCTTGATTGTGAAAGTCAACTCTTTGGGGCGGTTGGTCGTGTCGTTGAATGAAAGGGCGGAGGCGCTGAGTAATGTGGTCGAGTGAACTGCCCCCCACGCGTCAACAAGACCAGACCCTTGTTGGAAGACCGGCGCTAGGAAATTCCCTGTGTCTCCCCTTCCATCGTACCACTTGACAGGGCGGGATGTGGCTGCAATGACATTCCGGATCTCTTCAGAGCTGTAATCTGGATGCTTCTGTTTGACGAGGGCAGCGATGCCGGCGACAAACGGCGTGGCCTGGCTGGTTCCTGATAGAACATACTGGTCAATAACAGCTCCGCATAGCTCTCGAATAGACGTCCGACTTACCACTCACTACTCCGTAGCCCCCAAGCCATGCAGGGAAAGTGCTCAAGATATTTCCTCCGGGCGCATGGAATGCGGGCATGGATCCTGCTCGGAGAGTTGGACCCCAGCTGGTAAATACAGAGCTCATGAGGCCGGAGCGGTTATTGGCTTTGTAAGTGAGACTAACATCTGCAACAGAGACCTCATTGGCAAGGAACACTTGAACAGAGCCGTGCTTTGCCTTCGCATCCAGTAGTTGCTTTGCTGTGTCATAGTCCACTGTGACAGACCCTTTCTGGTTTGCTGCGGAGACCTTCAGGAAGAGCGGACCTTCGGAGACCGTATAGTTGCTCCAGCTATAGTACATGACATACGGGATGCCGAACTCTTTCGTGAGAGAGACTGTGGAGTTATCGGCTGCCATCCAGCATTGGTCGAACTGGGAGAGAAAAATGACTTTGGACAAATCGGCCGGCAAAGTAGACTTATCAGGGAGTAGCTGGCAACCATTAGTGTTTGGTGTGTCTGCAGTCCAGACCGTCAACCCTTCGTTTGATGGGAAATCGAACGGCATGCCAGGGACGAAACGAAGCGATCCGCCTTCACCTCCTGCAGTCCAATTGCCTCCCCAGTTGTAGTAAGGAGTTTGCGAGTTGTCGGTAGACCCAACGGCGGCGATAGCATCTGCCCCTCCAGGACTGGCGCCTGTGAAAATGCCAGGGCCACCGTTTCCAGCTACAAGAGAAACGTAGGTGCCGTTGTTGAACAGTCGCGTAGCCACGATAGACCAGGCGTCTTGAACCTATCAGTACTTCGCGTTCTTTGAGTTTGGAAATGCGAATGGGGCCGAATTACCTTCAGGAAAAGTGAGGGCACCCCCATACGAACATGAGATGACGTCGACGCCTCTTTCTGCAGCTTCAAGGAACGAGTTGATGATCGCGTCATCCGTAGTTCCTGAAGTACAACCTGTGATGCGGTAAAGCTCGTATGTGGCATCAGGGGCCACGCCAACGACACCAAATCTGCCCTCGTCACCCTTGGCTCCTACAATACCCAGAACATGCGTGCCATGGAAGGAACAGTTGTCACGAACATCATTGTCGCCGTCTGTCATGTCGTGGGCATAAACAATGTCGGTCTTACTGAGGCCCGGAGTATCAACGTCGAAACCGCTGTCAATGACTGCCACACGAATGCCTTTACCCGTGATATTGCTGGCGTGTAGCTTCGACACTCCAGTATCAATGTGCGTTGGCAAGGTGTCGGCTGCGATACCACCTCTTGCGTGGAGAGTTGAGATCTGGGACAAGTCGCGCTTGGACGATCCATGAATGCTGCTTCCCCAATCGCTGTCAGAAATGCCTGGAATTCTCGGCATGTGGACGGCCGGTGCTGCTGAAGTTACAGGCCAGGCTTTCTGAATGCCATCGATCGACTGTAGAGTCGAGAGTACCGCTTTCCGAGAAACTCCATCGTTGGTACAGTCAACGTTGAAAGATCCGCCTTGGAATATGGCGTGAGTGAAATGATATCGCGAAGATGCAGTGCAATCCAAGCCAGTGGCTGCCAGAGATGTCTGTGTACGGCTGATGAGATCCGCTGGGCTCTGTAGCCATGTTAGTGGCATCTACGCTATCGAGATACACTTGGGTGGCTTTACCAACTGCACGGATGCATCGAACTCAACAACAAAGGCGTCATGATAATCAGAGACAACCGACCATGGGAGGCAAGCTGCGAAGGCAGCCTGCTTAACGAATGACTTCATGATGGTCTCGCGGACAGCTGAGTAAACCAGAAATTTCCACCGTTCTTCTTCGGCCACGATCAATAATCGCTTCAATCCTTATAAAAGACCTGCGGTCCCTGGGAAAGACCCCTGACTCGCGCAGACCATCGCTTGGTCACTACTGTAGAGTGCAATACGGGCTTTCGCTTTCGGCGCAAGCCGAATTGCCAGTGGTTGAACTCTAACAGATTGAGCGTAATTACCGACTTCTCCGTACACCTCCCGTACAATCCTCGACGCCCTTCTTGCGTCTTGTCACAGAAATAGCATAAAGGGGTCGGCTCTGGATTTCCGTTCTGTCCACTAAGTATCCTTTGGCCTAGTGAGAACCCGACCTCTTAGCGTGCAGTTCGCACAATGTCATTGTATCTTTTGAGATTTGCACGTGGCCAGACCATGCCTCCATGTCTTTTAACAAAGCATTGACTTGGGAACTGAGCCTGAATTTCTGCTCAAGCAAACGTTTCGTGCGATGAACTGACACCCAGCGCCCACAAAATCCCAGATTCGTTCCTACTTTGAAGGCAGGCGACCGGACCATATATGTCTGTACCCGCTCCGGTCTGGCTGCACCGAGACGTCCGTATTTGTATTTGTTTGAACGGCCGAAACAGTGAAGCATCTCTCGTAGGCCCGCTAGACCGGGGTCGAGAGTCAAACAGCTCACAGGCCAGCCCTCGTGGTTAAATGCCCCCAGCCTGGTGCCCTTGCAGCGCCTCTTCAGCTACAAGTATGGATCAGGATACTGTTCACATCTAATGAGCTGCAAATATGTAGTGTCGTTTGCTGCGGTCATTAGTGGCGCTGGCATATGTGCTCATCTCCAAGTCCTGTCGATTTTGTTCACCACGTCCTCGTGCAGCAATCCAAAACAGATTTCTGATTTCGTGACTCATGTCGCCTGACGATGTACCAGGTACCTTGGCAGTTGAAATTTTCGAAGATGGTCGAAGGTTGCCCAGGATCGCTAGACAAGCTTCTTTGATATCAGACTACTAGGTAGATACCTAAGAACCTAGTGTCCCACCCACGTTCGTGGCAAAACCGGCGCTATTGAGTATGGGCACATCGGGCACATCGGGATATGCAGAACATAACGATGAATATTACGACCATGCGGTTGGTTTTCAACCTACACACATGTAGTTCCAATGCCCCATGAAGTAAAGACCACCTGAACTCTATCAATCTCTGCCAACAGCCCATTTGGAAGCATCCCTCAACCAGGAAAAGACCATGTCTGTTCCCTTTGACCCATGTCTAGCAACAAGGCCCCTCTTTGGGTCAGGGTCTGGGCCCGGCGCGTTGAAAGCTTCGACCAAGCGCGTATTATCTTTGCCAACTTCCAGAATTGATCCTCCGACAAGGGCCTTCTCCTCGACACATCGTAGCATAGCCTCAGCAACTTCTCTTGGGGTGACCCAACCGTCCTGAGCTTCGTCCAGATTGATCAGCTTCTCCGGATGCTCGGTCCAGAGCGGTGTCCGTACGACACCCGGTGCAACAGCGTTGACGCGGACCCCATCTGTATCTTCCAAGCGAGCAAGACTGCGGACAAACCCGGTGATAGCGAATTTGGAGGCTGCGTAGAGAGGAGCGTTGATGTTTGCAACCTGTCCAGCCACTGATGAGATGTGAACTATGCGCTTTGGGTTCTCGGGCGAAGCTTTGATAGAAGGTGGCAGGGCGGCGTTCGTTGCCTCCTTAGGATGAAGCCAGTATGAGATTGCCAGCTGCGTGGAACGGATGGGATGGGTGATATTGATGTCAAGCAGAGCATATTTTCCGCCGTCTGCACTGTCCTTGCTCTCGGACGACCCAGGAGGGTGCCAGAAGTTGGACCAGTGCGGCTCATAGACACCCGCTCCAGGACAGAAGATGTCGAAACTCCCAAATTCCTCGATGGCGACCTTGAACATGTTGGTTAGTGCCGGCCATGAGGTCACATCGGTCTTGACGAAGACTGCGCGTGGCCTGGCGTTTGACTTGTCTTGGTTGCTCGAGACGAGCTGCTCCGCCTCCGGCCGAAGAGCGAGGTCAGCAATGACGACATTGCAACCACGCTCAATGAGCAACTCGGCAAAGGAAAAGTTGATACCTAGATTTGATTGAATTACTAAGGATTTTTGCGAAGGTGAGAGATCCGCTGGGTTGATACCTGAGCCTGCCCCTGTGATGATGGCCGTCTTTCCGGCCACGGTGTATGGCGGGATTGATTTCTTGATGGGGTCTGTCATGTCGCCGAATATGTCGGAAGTATGGAAAGACCAGCCGGTAATCGATAGATATTTGATAGCCCGCGTTTGCAGTTCACGAAGGCGATCCTTTGAAATGATGCACCACGGTGTTGTGAGAGTTTTACGGAAGACAACTTGTTGGTCTGAATAATGATTACCTTGGGGCATATCAGTAGAGGTAAGTAGCGCATCGACAGCGTCGGCGAGGGGTGACAGCATGGATCGGCTTGGACACGCTCGCAAGGCCGACGATCGGACCCCGAGCTATGTCGTATGAGACGAACTGGCGAAATACAAGTCCACGCCGTGCTGTAACGCCATGTGTGGCTTCTCCACGGGGTGTGCTCCGTTTACCCCGCAGAGGAGCTGGTTGGGACGAGTGAAGGCATGGCTCATCCAGGCGCTTAGACTTGCCTCAAGTAGATACCGTGACACCACAACAATTTTAACCACCTATGCCGACTGGAGGAGAGCAAGTCAACAAGTAGCTGACTCACTGAAGACAAAAGACTCTTAAAGAGTCGCAGAGTCAATATTAGATAGGATGACTGCTGATGTTCGAAATGTACCAGCGTTCTGATTAGATATATGAAAGCACTTTAAAATCGCTATCCGATAAATTTTCATTACTACTAGTCGTCTGAAGGCCGTGGGATTTTCAACACTTGCCCAACACAAAGACTAGAAAGGGCAGCACCAGATGCATCATATCAAAGCAACATCGCTAGGTAACTTGAAGCTTTATCTATTGAAGGGTATTGATATTGTAAATCAGAAGCTACTTTAGTTCTAAGCTTTCTAACTGTCGTTCTTGAGTACTTTTTGCACTGAGTCTACCACGGAGCTGAATTTTCCCAGAGTCATGAGTGGTGAAGTGACAGTTATCCGAGCGAAGAAACCGAGCGTCGATACTAGATATCTGAAGATTGTAGCCCGTTCATTCGCCCTTGAAATGAAAGTCGCAACGAGGCAGAACGAACTGACAGCAATGCGCACCAAACTTCTGGAAGAGCGTCAGTTTAGTGCCAAGAGCGAAGAAGACAACGCGACGGAGACATACTGATCTGTACCCGCCTTAGTGGGATCGACTTCGACAAGCAATTTCAGAATATCAATGGCAGACTCAAGGACTTTTTGTTCTATCTTATCAGAGATTGAGTCACCCAAAGAACTAGCCGAAAATCGACCGCAGAGACACAAAACTAGCTCGAAATAGAGTAGACTTGCTGATAAGTCCCCTTCTGAAGACGTCATACACGGACTACTCGGTGAGGCGATTCTCGGATCCCACGTCATGGCTGGTGCGGGTTGGTGGCGTGCGGTGAAGACGTTAACTCTCAATTGTTGAAGCTGTTCCAACCAGTTTTCTAGATTCTCTGTTGTGAATGCCGTAGATTGGGATAAAGCTTTTTGATTGTCGAATTCACCAGCTATCCTGGAGCAAAATTGAGCTAGACGGTAATGAACCCCAAAGGTTTGCATCAATGGCTTTCTAGCTTCGATCTCGGAAGATATTGGCTCGTGGTCGATGTAGGCATCATTCAAGGCCTAAGCAAAAATACATGGGTTAGTGTATGACTGCTGTGGCCGATGTATAGAGTTGGCGGGCTTACCGAAGCTTGTCCGTTGCGCAACCGATACGGCTTTTCGACCGTGTACAGCAGCCAGAACGCGTGCTTCAATGATTCAACCTCTTCTTTCGTTTGACAAACTGTCTTCAGAGAAGCCAGATTGTTGAGTCTAAGGGATTGAGCGCAGGAAACTGCAGCTCCAAGCAACCAATCCGTGTCCGCTGGTTTCCACAAGGTCGAGGCAACGAGCTTTGCGAACAGTGTCAGCCATAGATGAAAACTTGACATACCATTTTAGAGGGCTTTCGAATCCTCTTCTATACTTACAAGTGTAATCAGCGCCTATATGATTCAGTCAGAATGGCTCGCTGTACTTAGGTAGCGCAGGGTGTAGAAGTACCTTGAAGCTCAGAGCTGTCGAAGGGCACATGTGCAGTTTCTCGACGTGCACCATTGCGTTGCTATACAAGCATCTCATTTGCGATTCTGACTCTTGCGACATTCCGGATCGCCTCATCGAGATCAAGCATCCGATAGAAAGAGCCGCATACACTACCGAACTATTGACGTGATCTGACACCCCCTTCATAACCACGTCTTCGAAGAGTCGTAAAATTTCAGTCTCTCCTATGTATCTCAGCCCACTACGAGAGATTGTTAGAGAACACTCAATCTTTCAAACATATACACTGTAGGTTCAAATAACTCACAGATATGGTTCAGATGCGGTGAAAGCTGATAGTAGAAGTTAGCACCAATCCCTATACCTATCTAGACTGCTCTTGGAACCGATAGCAGTGTACCATGAAGAAACTCAACTAGTGTTTCAAGGCTGGGCTGAGCCCTTTGATAAGTGCTCTCTGGAAGCTTTGGGCTGTAGCAGCAGGTGGTAGATTCGTCTACAAGATCCATGAGGCTCTGTCCGAACTGTTTAGAATTGCAAGAACTCCGATCCCGTCCTATGAGGAGCTTCACCATATCGGTTGTTGAATACGCATATGTTGCTGATAATATTGTCAGCTGAGGTCAGGTATCCCAGAATCACGAGACGTAATCATACCACGAACAGGATGGCCGACAGTGCTTTCATCGTTGACTGTCTGCAAATTTGAAAGATCCCAGCCGCCTATTACCAGACCGTCAAAATCCTGTAGTCCAGGAACACTATGTCCATTGGACAAAAGCTGTGTGCTCCAACAATACTCCAATGCGGAAGAGACTGGACTGGCGACGATTTCCGTGCTTTGTGTTCCTAGAGCTTCGGGCGAGTTTAAAAGACCACTTGACAACGGTCCCCAGTGTTCTTCTAGGGATTCGGTTGTCACAGGGGTCGGGAACTGTCCAAGGTCCAAAAGCCTGTTCACACCGGAGAGTGATGACTGAGTTGAGGATGGCCCAAAGTAGCGTAGGTGGTCTGTCGGTGATGGGGGTGATGTGGACTGCTGTGACGCATAGTTGAAGTCTTCGAATGAAGAACTCTGTCTAGTTGATGCGTTCAAGCCTGGGTGGATGTGCTTAGTTGCTGTATGGCAATCAACGCAGTGTGGTTGGATCTTCCTACTGTTTTGGCTGGATCTTCCCCTCTTCTTCGGTGTGACGTAGAAGCAGAAGGAGGCGGATGACTGCAAATCATGAGAATCCCTCAAGTGATACTATCAAAACATCAGTACACTTACAAGACACTTATCGCAGCTCGGTCTGCCACCATCGCCTATAAAATGTCAGGTTGTCATTGTGAATATTTGTTCTAGCATCCCAACTCACATTTTCGCTTTCGTACTTTGCAAGTTTCGCAAGCCCCCGGTCGACGTTTGTATACTCTCCCGCCAGCGTCCGTGGTGTTTACTGAAGTCGGCGAAGACATCGCATGAAATAGCTTGGAATGGAATATGATGGATGGGATGGCAGAGGAAACAGGCACAAGAGAGCTTATATCGTCGGGGTCATGCTGTGCTGTGGGGGTCTTGGAATATGTAAACCATCCCCGCTTCATGTTCATCACAGCTGTGCGTAGTTCAAAGCACTGATAGACCCCGGGCCGTGATTTCCGAGTCGAGATGCAGGAGATCATCCCGCGAGGACCATCCAAGGTAAGGTAGGCTGGTAACCCAATCCCTGTCCAATGAGTCCTGAAAGATCTAGCCGGCCATGGTTCTTGCCCTACATGTTACAAATATTCTGTCTCTGGAGGACGCTACTGAACCTTGAACAGGCAATGCTTGAGTCCTGCAATCATCCAGACGCCTCGTGGATTGGATTCTGCTGGACTTCTAGCTGAACTTTGATGGCTTTACCCCCTCCCCCTCCCTATCTTTCAGCTCAGATCCCTATTGTTTCTAGGCCCCTTCCTATTCCCTGGATAATAGTAGCTTGGGTGCATATCGAGAGAGACACATGTCTGGCGGTCAAGGCCTCCGTCCCCCCTCTTTGGAGTCGGCCCCACCCACCGCCTCGTTCACTTCGCAATCCTGTCGAGAAGCTCAGTGCGACAGCCACGGAGTTCCATTGGAGACAGAGTTGTGATGATCTGTTTCAGAAGATTCTTTTATCCGAAGAAGACTTCCTTGACTACTCCAGATGGTGAGCATTACCCGCAGGTGTAAGAGAGACTTGTGGATCAACTTCGGATTTCCTTCTCACACCTTAAAGTCATACAATCAAAAGCTTTTCTTCACTGGGTTGATATCCGTTCATCTAATAGTAGACTAGCCTGCTGAATTTATAAGGTGACCACCCACTCGTGTATTATTTCGCAGCGGCCGGCTTCTTTTCGTCGCCTATCTCTCACTCCGTGACATGAAATCGTGACTTAGTATGCACTCCTAAGCCTGAGCATTATTTTCCCTCGCTACGCTGGACTGCTTCCTGGTTCTAAATGATCTTAGACTTAGTGTCTAAGGCGAGTAAATTACCAGAGATATGTTCATTGTTATCATCGCCATCGAAACTTGCATCGATGATCGCCGGAAAATGGTATCAGCGCTGCCAGCCGGATTACTTCACCAGGGCCATGAACTCAAACGGTGCACAAATGGCCTGACTTTGACTTGCCGTGATGTTATCCGAATGAATGTTGGACAAGATTAGACCTCCCGCTGGGGTCACAACTCAGACGTTGAGGAACATATGCATGCGTTGACTCAGGTGCAGGTGCGCGAACTCTACTGTATGACCCAATTCGTGGTTTGGAAGCAGGCTAAGCCCTTGCTCGCGGTCTCCTGAGGTCGAAACTAGCGAAGCTTGGTAGATCTTCGGTAGTGTTAAACTCTTTCGATTGCATCGGTCGCCACAACGGACCACCATCGTGGCCTGATTCCAGACCAAGCCCATGCCAGCTAGAACGGGCTTGGCCTTGTTCTGCCCGCTTTCGTACTTGGTCGTATTGGCTTCAGCCCTATCCGTTGGCCTGGGTACTAGCCTCTCCAACCA